AAGCTTCCTGGGAGTTTCTGCATGTCAACTGCAGGCAGTTGAGCAATTTTTTTTTTTTTGCAGTGAACTAATGGTTATTTACCATTCCCTGATATTCAGCAGGACCATCCTGCTTGATTTTAATGAAAGTGCAATTGAATGGTTTGATTACGCTAACAGAAGCCAACACACTGAAGAGAGAACATATCAGAAAAGACAAAGAAAAGAAACAACCGAGGAAAAGAAATATGACCAACAGTTGTCATGGAGAGGTTTGGCAGAATGATTGAGCTGAAGAGTTGGCGAGATAAGATGATAGACACAGGTGGTTGTGTAGATTGAAGAGTTGAGAAGTTAGTGAGTTGATTTGAAGAACAGAAGTTTTAGATTTAATCTCACCAGTCAGAAAAAGGAATGGAGATGAGAAGAATTTGAGAATGAGTAAGAGGAAAGTTTTGGTTCAAGTTGTGATGTGTCAAGGTGAGTATGAGGTGTCAAGATTGAGAATGAGTTAGGGTTGATGATTAAAGTTCAGAATGAAGCAGACACAAAATAATGAACCAAAGAAAGGAATAACACAGGAATGTCACACAGACTGTCACAGAGGACAGAGAGTGAGAAGCAACATGGCATGAATTCCAACACACCCCATGACTGGTGGGATTAGATCTAACTTGCCGCAAAAGATGGATCAATTGCATGGAGAAATTTGACTGAGGATCTTGATGCTACTTTGGTGAGGGCATCTGCAATCATCTTGTTGGTTCTGATTAATGAAATTTGGATTGACTTCTTGACAGATTCCTTTTGTTTTGAGATCAATCACCAGGGGACAATTCTTTGCACTTCACTGTTGAGTCCCATCACATATATCCTTGATATTTTTGGTTTGAGACATGTAGCAGGTAACCCATATATGCACTGCAAAAATTAAGTAGAACTATTGTGGAGCTAAGTTGATGTGTATCAGTATTGACATCTCATACACAACTCAAGGTTATCTCTGTTGTAACCATTTCCAACAATATAGTACATGATTTTATTCCCTGAGCTTATCACCATGTGAAGGCCACCAAGTCCAAATTTGTAAGCAAGGATGAATTAAAAACTGGGCACCCTCTAGTGATTTGAATATTGCATGGAGATTGTTGAGCTGAAAACTGGATGCTCAACCTGTGTTGCATCTGTCCTACAATATGAGCAAAACTTTGGATATTCTGGTTTCCAAAATATCAATAGGGTCCAAACATTTGGGTATCCAAATATTCAAGGTCAACAAGTTTCTCACAGCTTGTGGATGCCCTTGATATTACTACACACACATAAAAAAAAGCCTGTCTTTCAACAACAGTTGCAAAGGGCATTCAATCAAGACAGGATTGGTCATTTTAGCCAAGCTCAACAAGATGTTAAACAAAGCCTAGTCCTACATTTCCCTTCCACACCCCAGCACAACACTTGCTAAATCATAATTCCACCATGTCTAACCTACTCTGCCTTGGAAAATTCATAATACCTTTATACTATCCCACTCCAATTTCATTTCCTGAATTCTGCCAAGCATTCCTTCAAAGATGCACCAGTCAAGTGCATATTTGGTGTTATCCTAGGTGTCTGGTTGGAGCTCTTAGTCAATTGAAAGGTGAATTGATTGGCCCACTCCTTGGTCAGATTGGCAATTGCTCCTCCCCCATTTCTGAAGAAGGCTTGACAAACAATCCAAGCATCATGAAACTCTGAATGTTTGTGGTGACAAAGAACTGTCAAGCTCCTCAGCTACAAGGGTGTGTCTTCAGTCTTTCTTGCAATGAACAATAAATTGTCCAGGCGTTCAGGAATGCACAAATCAGCCTTACCACCATCTGGAACTACAACCCCAACATCTTCTACAACACTCACACCACACGGCCACCACCAATCAACAACTTGATTGAAGAGCAACCCTCTTTTCAATCCTTACAGGCAAGAT